TTCAATTTCATCATCAAATGTATTCATTTAATACAGAAATCGAATTAGAAAGATAGAAGTAATAATGTACAAATATATTATTCTCATATTTAATCACAAATATTTTCATCTAATAATATTTTCTACTATTTTTTACCTTTTAATTATTTAACAAGAATTATTTTGCAACATGATAATTCATTTCAATGATCTAACAAACATAAACACCAAGTTTTAAACAAACAATGAAGACATTCATTACATTTAGACAACAATTAAGAAATAATGAACAAATTCACAAATCAATATAATAATATAATGATGAATACGAATAAAATGCATATTTCGTGACCAAATAAAAATAATAAAAGTAAATAAAATTTTAAATAAATATATAAACTAAGAAAAATAATAATTAAATTGTTATTATAAAATATTTGTATTCATATTAATAATGTATTTTATAATTTAATTTAATTAATTGATTAAATTTATTATTATTAATTTATTAAATTTTCATTTTTTATAAGAATATTAATCATTTAATACTATTATATTAATTTAATAAATATAATTTAATAATTCATATATGAATTGATTGTTAATAATCATTAATTATATAATTTATATGATTATTATATTAAATAATTTATTAATAATATTATAAATATAATAAATTTAAATTTATTTAAATATAATAATAAAGAATTTTATTATTAATTGAAAATATTAAATGAAAATTAAATTTATTAACAAAATTAATTATATAATAAATTTAGTAAAAGTATATCATTTATATAATATTAAATTAATGAATAAAAAATAGAATAAGAATTAAATATTAAATATTTTAGAAGTATTAATTAAATTTATTTAATAATTTAATCTTTTTTCATTGTAATATTAAAAATAATTTATAAAATTATCTTTTTTATTGTTTATTTTATTTAAAATATTATATATTTTTATTTTTGATAGATTTTGATTTATTTTTATTGATTTTTAGATATCAAAATATTCTCTTTTTTATTTAATAATCAATTATA